GGGGGGCATGTCCTGAGGCATGTTGGTCGATTTGAAGGGGGGGGTACGCTTGGTTTTGGTTCAGGTGAGTCGTACCGTACGGCCGGGCCGAGCTTCGATTTGGAGATATGATGCCGTTGGTTTGAGGTTGGGAGAGTGTGAAGGTCACGTGGTTGGCGGCGGACATGGTAATGCGGGCTGCCTGGGTTCTCATTGGTGGGGAGGAGGTGGGAGAAGGTCTGCCCGGGTTCCGAAATTCATTGATTAATATGATGTTCTAGTCATGGTCGATTGATCCATTTATGAACAGCGGGATTTTTGATTTCTTGGATATTTGGGCTTGTTTGGCGAGATAATATACTATACCTACAGTGTCTGCTTTGAGGACGCTTGTTTTGAGAGACTTTTGCTGGGCTTTGGCTCAATTGTGAAGAGTTCTTCCCTTCGCGAGAGAAAATGGAGGAAGAAGGTCGGCCTAGAAAGTTGGTCAAGCTCGACCACGACGACTCGCAACAACAACAACCACCCCAACAGAACTCAACAATGGCGGAGTCAGCTCCCCTGTCAGAACTCTCGACTGCCCCAGTCGAGACCCGCGATAACGATGACGAAACCGCCACTACAACAGCGAACAATGGCGCCGCCCCGAGCGAACCGACCGATGAGACGGCCCCGATGTCCAAGCGCGCCATAAAGCGTCAGCGCCGCCGGGAACAATGGGAAGAAGGACGCGATCAGCGCAAAGTCAAGCGGAAGGAGCGCATCCAGGCCCGCAAGGAGCGCCGGCGAGCGGAGCTCCAGCTCGCAAAGGACGAGGGCCGAGAGGCGGAGTTCCGCAAGGAGCACGAGCGCACGCCCGCGCGGTTCCGGAAGGGCACCCTGCTGCCGCTGACGCTGATCCTCGACTGCGGGTTCGATGAGCTGATGATCGAGAAGGAGCGCATCTCGCTGGGCTCGCAGCTGACCCGGTCGTACTCGGACAACAGCCGCGCGCCGTTCCGGTCGCACCTGGTGGTCTCCTCGTTCAACAAGCTGCTGAAGCAGCGGTTCGACACCGTGCTGGCCAAGACGTACGAGAACTGGAAGGGGATTCGTTTCCTGGAGGAGGACTTCGTCGAGGCCGCGGAGAAGGCCAAGGAGTGGATGGTCGTGCCGGACGGCGGCCGCTTCGAGGGCGTCTTTGCGGATAAGGCGGACACCAAGGCCGAGGACGGCGAGATCGTCTACTTGAGCAGCGACAGTCCGCATACGCTGACGGAGCTGAAGCCGTTCAGTACCTACATCATCGGCGGTTTGGTGGATAAGAACCGCCACAAGGGGATTTGCTACAAACAGGCCGTCGAGCGGGGGATCAAGACGGCCAAGTTGCCGATCGGGGAATACATCCAGATGGCCTCCCGGCAGGTCTTGGCTACGAACCATGTGGTGGAGATCATGCTCAAGTGGCTGGAAGTGGGCGACTGGGGCAAGGCTTTTATGGAGGTCATTCCCCAGCGGAAAGGTGGCACTTTGAGGGAGTCGGTCAGTGAGTCGGGCGAGCCGCAAGATGGGGAAGGAGACGATGCAGAGGAGGGAGAAGAGGGAGAGGGAAAGGGGGAGAAGGATGCAGAAGAAGAGGCTGAAGCTATACAGGAAGCAAATGCCGTTGCACAAGAGCAGGAGCAGGAGGAACAGAACGACGCAGGAGAGGCCAAAGAGGGCAATTAGATCGGAGCTCCAGGCTAGAACTGTGGAATTTAATGTACTGTACTGTATACTGCATAGTTAACTAGTAGAACTGATGATGATGATTTTCACATGATTGGTATGCACCGCCACCCGAGCCACAGGCCGATCGACGCCACAGCCGTTGCCACTCGATGACGGCAGAAAACAACAGCAGCGGAAATCAAAACATTTTATTTTCTACTTCACTCCCAAGGCATCGCCTGCCATCCCACATTCATAAGTCGCAGTCAGTTGCAGTCAGCCTCCTGTTGACTGTTCTCTGCCACTGCTACGGAGTTTCTTACTCTCAGCAACACCAGTGACCTATACTCTTCCTACTTCTCTTGCATCTGCGTTGATCAACACCCCTGCTCCCCTAGCAACAGGATCTCCCCTCCCTGATATCATCCGAATAAACAACCTGTTCCTGTTGCTCCGACGCCCGGTCAGCTGCAGCCATGTTCATGCTCCGCAATGGTAAGTTCCCCTCATTCAGCTCTTGGTCTAGGCTCAGTATCAGACACTTCCACTTTCACTTTCCCTATTCACTTAACCCCACCATCGACCCCTCCTTCCCTCTCCTCCCCGGTCACCTCTTAATGTTAACCTCATCCTTCCACCATCACATGCTAACTATCCAACCTTTCTCTGCTTTTCAGTGAGCAAGTACCTCTTCGGAGACACTTCCAAAGAATCCATCATCGAAATCCCTCAGGGACAACTGTACCTTGTCCGCCCCCTATCACCCAAGGGATACTCGGAGCTCATCTTCAAGGACGCCGCTGCCTCCATCAGACGCACCGGGCAAGAATTTCAATACCAATTAGTGGTTCAACGAGCCTACGAGGAAGGTGAAGAGGAGCTTGCTGAAGACGACGACGAACCGGGCAGTGACAGCTTGGATAAAGACGAGAAGGTCTTCCTGCTCGACCAAGCCCTGCACTTCCGTTCCGAGGTCCGTGAAGGTGGTGCAAAGATCCTGGCCTGGAGAGACCTCAGTGGCGACGTAGGTGATCTCTTCGAGTTTGTCTGTGACGCGTCCGTACCCGCGGACAAGGTTTCTACCTTTGAGTTGGCCGCCCTTCAGTGCCAGTACGAGCGAACGTATCGACGGAGCGCGCAGGGTGCTACTCGGGAAGAATTGCAAGAGTTCTCATTCCAAGAGGAGAGGCCCATCCCGTCAGCAAGTCCCATCTCTTCACCCACCAAGTCTCGTGACCACTCCATCGATTCTCCCGACGCAGCGACTGCCATGGCGAGCGACGTGGAATATTCCAAATCCAAGGGCCTCATCAAGCCCGTTGCTCAAGATGAATCGACTGTTGCTCCGCCGTCGGCTGCGCAACCCGAGGCTCGGGAGATTCTCGCGCAAGAGAAGGCCGAACTGCATCTCTTCGATTTCCCCACTGGAACCTTTGTACAGCAAGATGCCAATATTACCGCAACGGTCTCCGAGGTCGGTGACTGGCAATACTGGCTCCAGATCAGCGGAGACGATAAGGAATGGCTTGGCCAGGCAGTCGTCGCTGATATCAACCCTGTCTTCAACTTTGAATATTTGTCCTTCATCTTCAACGCCTACAGCGAGGATGGTTCGGCCTACTCTTGGCTCCTGCGCTTCCACGATCAACAGACGGAAGAGAGATTCCAAGAGGGTCTTATGCAGGCGCTGTGGGAACAGCTGAATGAAATGAAGTGGGCCAAGGTCAAGGAGAATGAGAAGGAGTATGTTTTGGACGCCTTCCAGGATCTGACCATGGAGGACGCTGAGGAGCGCGAAGCCGAGGCTGAGGCCGAGGAGGAAGAGGAGTCTGAAGAAGAGGACCAGGATGACGGCCAGCGTAGCGAGCACTACGACTCCGATGAGGAAGACGACGATGTGGTGACCCGTGAAGATGACGGCAATGTCAACTCGCAACTGGCCGTCGGTTACAAGCACGACCGCTCGTTCGTTGTTCGTGGTTCCAAGATCGGCGTGTTCAAGCACACCCCCAACAACAATCTCGAATTCTCAACCAACATCTCCAAGGTTGAGACTCCTAGTGGCAAGCTTTTCAGCCCGAAGAAGGTCATGTTACATGCCGAAGACTCGAACATGATCCTACAGAATAGCGATGATCCCAACTCGCTCTACCGCATGGATTTAGAGTATGGTAAGATTGTGGACGAGTGGAAGGTGCATGATGACATCCCTGTCCACACCTTTGCCCCGGAGAGTGTAAGTCAACTTCCACATTACTACCTGTGACTTGACGATCGCTAATCGTTCGCCTAGAAATTCTCCCAAATGACTTCCGCCCAATCTTTCATTGGTGCCTCGAAGAATGCTTTGTTCCGCGTTGATCCCCGTGTGGCTGGAAACAAGCTGGTGGAGTCTGAGCTGAAGCAATATGCTAGCAAGAACGACTTCTCCTCCGTGGCCACCACGGAGAAGGGCTATATTGCCGTCGCGTCTAACAAGGGCGATATCCGCATGTTTGACCGACTTGGTATCAATGCCAAGACTCATATTCCTGCGCTGGGCGAGCCCATTATTGGTCTCGATGTGTCTGCCGACGGTCGCTGGGTCTTGGCTACGTGCCGAACCTATCTCCTGCTCATCGACGCCCTGCAGAAGGACGGCAAGAACGAGGGCAAGCTAGGATTTGAGCGTTCCTTCGCCAAAGACTCTAAGCCGCAGCCGCGTCGTTTGGGTCTGCAGCCCGCTCATGTCGCCCAATTCCAGCACGAGACCAAGAAACCCATTGCTTTCACTCAGGCTCGCTTCAACACGGGTGTTGACTCCCAGGAAACATCGATCGTCACCGCTACCGGTCCTTTCATCATCACCTGGAGCTTGAAGAAGGTCATCGCTGGCCGCAAGGACCCCTACACCATCAAGCGGTACGGCGAGGAAGTCATGGCAGACAATTTCCGCTTCGGCTCGGACAAGAATGTCATTGTTGCGCTTCCCAATGAAGTCAACATGGTGGCCAAGAAGAGTCTTCTTAAGCCGACGCGTGAGAGTATTGCTGGTCCGTTGCCCATGACTCCTCGGCGCCGTACCCAGTGGGGTAGTCGCCTGGGCCGGGACGACATTGTCAACTCGCCGTACTGATGCTGATTTGGTGGTTTTCTGTTTCGATTTATTGCATTGCATACCCCTTGTGTTATACCTTTTTGAGTCTATCCCTTCTATACGCTGTGTCAATATTTCTGCTTGGACTTCACGGATTGTAATGTCTTGCTGGAATCCTCTGACACTGGGATTGGGAATGGCGAATGATACGACGATGATACTTCTCTTAGGTAGCTCTATGTAGTGGTAATCAAAGTACACGAATTACGAGATGACGATGGATTATCCGAACACTGGCCACAGTACTGTAGTGGGCGCTGCCCTATACTAATTCCGGATGGGTATTCCATCCGCCTCGCGCCCACCAAACCCCTTTGCTGATTCCAACCACCTTGCCGGGTCAATGTTCAGATTATTAGAGACCATTCTGCCCGCAGATCATGATCCCCCCCTTTCTCAACCAGCAGCAAGCAATCTTCAAATGGCCGAGTTGTCTCAAGAGACAAATATACCTATTACCAAGACAGGGGGCTCATTTGCGCACCCTTCCCTAGGAACCGACATACCAAACCTCTACACCAAGGATATCGAACTTGACGCCTTCATCCGAGAGCGGCTCATTGCCAAAGGTCTGCGACGCGGCACTGACACCTTTCTCCAAGCTCGAGTCCACCCAGAGACCGTAATGCCCATCCCTAGACCAAGCACCGGTCTGTTAACACATCCAGAATAACAATTCGCACCTGACAAACACATCAGGAAGAAGAGATAAGAACTCACCCGCCCCCGAGACTCAAGAACCCGGTCTCACAGAACATCATATAATCATTGACCCCGCTGTAGGGGAACGCCTTGAAGCGGATCTGCTCCGGCGTGGCCGTCCCACTCCTACTCTGTTGTCCGGGATGTTGGAGGCTGCTACTCGTCGCCCCCGGAACCGATAGACTATCGTTGCGCCGGGGCAAGGGACTCCGACTCCGCAGGGTGGTCGACCGGCCGGCGTGCGTAGTATCCGCGCTAGGCGGTAAGGGGAGCCCGGCGCGTTCGAGCGCCTCCCACGCGGCATCCTCGGGGGTGGGATCGTTGTTCTGGGGATTGTTGTTGATGGTGGACATCGACTGCAGGAGTTGGGCGGTCGAGGGCGGCTGCAGCACCGAGGCGCGCCAGAGGAAACATTCGCCGGTGCCGAAGTAGTGCGAGTCCGGGTGCGGGGGGTCGGTCATGTAGGCGCCGAAGACGGCGCCGCTGCTGTGGGGACTGGTGTTGTTGTTTGTGGGTGTTGAGGAGGTGGTGGATGGGGACGGCGAGGCGTCGCGGATGATCAGGACGTAGCCCGCCCGCGGGCTACGCTGGGAGATGGCGCGGCAGTTCTCGTACAGCGTCGACAGCGAGGCGCCGTCGCGTTCCAGGCTGTAGGCCAGTCGCCAGGTGTCGCAGAGTTGGAGGCGGGCGGGCACCAGCAGCCGGATCTCTTCGGCCAGCGAGCGCGTGAGTAGGTAGTCTTCGTTGTTGGGGGGCTGGTGACTGTCTGGGTCGGTGAGGGTTAGTGGGGTGAGGGGCGGTGGTTGGAAGGGCGAGGCGGTTCGGATGGGCGTGAAGAGCGTGTTCGTTGCGGTGGATGCGTCGGCGGGCGTTGTGTTGGAGTGCCAGGGGCGGCGCATCGTGCTGTCCTTCTTCTTCTTGTTGTTGTTGTTGTTGGTGGTGGTGCTGTTTTTGGTGGATTGCGGGTCGGTGAAGCGGCGGTAGAGGCCTGAGACGACGTGGGTGACCGGGTAGGAGAAGTAGGAGGCGGCGGATTGATGGAGGGAAGAGAACCGCTGTTGCTGCTGCTGCTGGTAGTGGTGGTGATGCTGGGTTTGTTGCTGTTGTTGCTCTTGGGGCTGGTCGAGAGGTCGAGGGGAAGAGGAAGTACTCGAGGACAGCGAGTATGACGACATGCGGGCGGAGATGCTCAGGACTTCTTGCAATTGACGTGGTGGGATTGAACGAGTGTCATAGATTGATTCAGAAAGAGTCAGATACTGACAAGAACTATGGGGGGGGGGGAAGAGGAGGGGCCAGACGAGAGAAGGAGGAAGAGGAAGAAAGTGGAGGAGAGAAGAGGAGAGAGGGCGGATGATGATGATGAGGTGTGAACAAGATAAGGAGTCTAATCAATCAATCAATCAATCAATCAATCAATCAGCCCACTCATACTTCTAGATCAGACTCTTACACTTTATTTCCACCATCATTCCATGCTTCCATGATCATTCCATACACCCAATCAATAAACTCTGTACAGCTATTCTATCCAACAATTGGGGGCCACCATTCGCCATGTTCCACTTTGTACTGTTACACACCAATTGATTGTCTCCGCATCTTTCTGTACTGCAAAATATCTTCCAAGTTCAATCGCAACCTCCCCCCACTACAGCTCTACACATCCATTGAGCTTCACCCCAACACTGCAACATGACAGACTCTCCGCCTCCTCCCTTGCAGCATCCTGCCTCCAACACCACTATCTTTCTCGATCAACCGCCCAGCTGCCTGCAATTCAGCCCCGCAATCCCCGACTGCTGCATCATCGGCACCTACTTGCTGTCCGAACAGAAAGACGAAACGAATGACGCCAACATCCAACAAACCAAGACCGGGTCTCTGCAGCTCTGGCGCATAAACCCCTCTACGAACGAACTGTGAAATTCTCTACACCATGCCAGCATCACCCCAAGAACGAGACAACTAACCACATTCAGCACTCTCCTCTCGAAACTCCCTCTCCCCTACGCAGTCTTCGACCTCCACTTCCACCCTCGCGACCCCTCCCTCCTCTCCATCGCAACAAGCGCAGGCTCCGTCGCCTTCTTCCGCCTCACGCCGGGTGAAAATGATGACCAACCGCCCACCCTGGCCCATCTCCTCACGCATTCCGTCCACGAAGACCCCTCCATCCCCGCCCTCTTCCTCGCCTGGACGCCCTCGACCTGGCCCTCCCTAACCCCCGGTACCAATACTGACAACACTCCCCTCGACGCCTTCGCCGTGACCTTCTCCGACAGCCTCACAACCATCTTCCAATATACCCCCGGTCCCGACCCCGACTCACCCCCTCAGATCGCGGAACTCGATTCCTTCCCAGCCTCGCAAGCCATCGAAGTCTGGTTCGCCGCGCTCGCGACCTTTCCCAACGCCTCTTCTTCCCAGCAGCAGCAGCAGCAAGCGCAGCAACAAATCCCCTACATCTTCACAGGGAACGACTTCGGCGCCCTCCACACCCGCCGCTACGACACCAACCGGACACCAACAATCTCATCATCAGAGACAGACCCTCGGCCCCAACAACTCTCCGCTCTTCTCGACCATCACGACCGCGGCCGCCACCACACCGCCGGCGTAACCTCCATCCTCCCCTTGCCCATTCCCCTCCAAGATGACAGTCCCGTCATTCTGACGGGGAGCTACGACGAGTCTTTGAGAGTGTATCACGCTACTCGACGCGGGGAAGTTCTCGCGGAGATAGGGCTGGGCGGAGGCGTGTGGCGGCTGCAGCTTCTGTCGTCGTCGTCGCCGTCGTCGTCGTCATCGTCTGTAGCTGGAGAAGCAGACGGATGGACCGGTCTGGTGTTGGCGAGCTGCATGCACGGCGGGACGCGGGTCGTGCGGGTGCAGTGCTCCGCGGAGTCCGGATGGGAGATGGAGATCTTGGCGGAGTTCAGGGAGCATGAGAGTATGAACTATGCGTCGGATGTGTGGAAGCCTGTGGGGGGGTATGAGCTACCTGTGCGCAGCGACAAAGCGGGAAAGCAGGAGCAGGAGATCCTCTGTTTGTCGAGTAGTTTCTATGATCGGCGGGTCTGCCTGTGGCGGGTCCGGGTATAGATACAATAACGATGTCGATAAAATCATAATGAATCATAGTCTTTGATGTATACTGCAAGAGGAACCCATCTCTCCTCTGCAAGAGAAACTCGTCTATCCTCTGCAGGAGAGAAAGAATAGAAAAACTGGCATACCAAATCGATATCTCATTATAATGATGCAGACAATACAACCCCCAACCGCCAGGTCTTTGTCTAAGTACACCACCCCTCAAAAAACACGCCAGACTTAAACAATCGTCTCCAACTCGCGCGCATACCCGATTGCATTCTCAATGATCGTCCCACTGGCCACCAGGATATCCTTCTCCGAGCGGGCAGCCGCCTCCGGCTCGACGGGGAAATAAATCCGGCCATCCCGCAGCACCCACCCCCGCTGCTGGGCGAACTCGATCACCGCGCCCTCGGAGTCCATGAAGAGCAGGTTCTTGGCGTTGGAGATGGGCAACGACGGGTATGCCTTCTCGGAGCAATCGGCGATTTCACTGCGGATCGTACCCACGAGGACCTTGACACACGACAAACATTAGCAACACGCGCACACACACACACAGCCCACCGCATCTCAATCCCCCAAAGACGAGGACCGGGGGAAGGGCAAAAGGGGGGAAAGACAAACACTCGAAAACAACCCGAAATCCTCGCCCGGCACCCGCTCCGAATTCGTCTCGCGCCACACCTTGTCATAGCTCCCTTCCATCAGATTCCGCTCCAGCTCCACGGGGTACTTGATGAAGGGGTCGTCCTCGACGCTCCGGCCCTGCAGACTGGCCTCCTCGACCAGGCCCTCCAGCACCGTGTGGAAGCTCGTGCTGTCGCCCATGCTCAGCAGGAGCAGCAGGTACAGGCCTGTGATCTTGCTGCGTTGGCTGCTGCTTTCCCGAGAGTCGCGCTCCAGATCGTAGAACGGCTGCAGCTGTTGGTAGTAGCGCGTGAAGCCGGGGGCGTCGGTCTGGCGGATCGCGGCGAGGGCGCCGAGTTCGAGGATCTCGCGGGCCAGCGGGAGCAGGTCCCGCGGCGTGGTCGGGGTCGGGATCAGGGCGTTCTGCTGCAGGAGCGTGCGCTTCGCTTGTGTGAGGAGGGTGGTGGTCTTTTCGAGGTCGTGGGCGCTCAGGCTGCTGTGGAGCGAGGTGAGAAGGGTGCGGAGGTCGGGGGTGGCCATCTTTGGTGATTGGTTGGGGCCGTGTGTTCGGGGGGAGGGGAGGGGGGGATAGGGGAGGGGGGCTGGGCGTGAGGGTTCGAATGGTCGGTGGTGGAGCTGTAGATGGTGATGAGGATGGGTGAAGTCAAGGTTAGGATTGAGTTGTTGTATCGTTGGATGAGGGTTATAGGCTGATGGACCAACGTTGACGTTGATGCTTGGAACTGCCGGGAAGAGCTGTCCCCGGGCGGTGAGAGGCAGGTCACGTGGAGTGCTTAGAGCATCTCACCCGATTGGGAAATACCTACAGGACCCCGGGCCTGGCAGGGCATATAGTTGTCCGTTACTATAATAGGATGGGTAGGAGGAAGTTTGTTAGATTTGGAGGAAGAATGACTGGCTAATGCAACTAAGCTTCCAATGCAAGCTCCAACAGAGTCTCGTAGTATGGTGTTCCCAGCCCCGTCACGGGGTCCCAGCCGGGAGTCGCATTCCACCCGGCATACGGAACTTGCGCTCCAGTGGGTTCGTCACAACCAACCGATCCTCCATCGACGATATCCGTAAATCCCCTCTGTTTAAGCGAGTACAACCATGGATTCAAGAAGCCCAGTGTGGACTTGCCTTGCTCCAGACGCGCTGCATTCAGTCGAGAGATTATGGCGGCAAAGACAGGCGCCGCAGCACTACAAATTCCAGTCAATCCTGAGTTCGTAACTAGCGGCAAAAAAAAAAAAAAAAAAACTCACCTGGTACCCCCAGTCTTCATCCATTCACCATGATCCCGAAGCACAAAATTATTGGCCTGGGTAGAGACATCAGGGATGCCGCGTCCCTGTGGATTGTAAAGCCCTTCATAGATGTTTCCCAGGCTTTGCAGATAGCTGGTGACATCCGCATCCTGATAGGAGGGTCGAGTGAAGATATCCGAGAAGCCGCCTCCTGAGAAAGATATGGCAGACTCGGGATCCATCCCTTCCGTACCGCCCACCGACGTGACAAACGGACACGACGCTGGGAAGACGGGCTGGAACCGAGTCCGACGTGTACCATCATGGGTCATACATGTATCTCCAGGCCCCCAATCACCACTGCTGAAGATGACAGATACTCCCCGGGCCCCCAACTGCGCAAAGAGGTTGCAGACAGCCTCTGCGTATGCCGCAGGTACAAAGGGCTCTTCTTCCCCGTAGGACGTGCTAAGAACCGCGGGGAGATCTTTATCTGGTAGGTCAAGGAGGTAGTGCAGTTGCTCGAGATAGGGCTCATTCGTTGAATCAGCTCTGGTCAGCATCCCGGACTCTTGCACCATCGGCCCACGCCCTGCAGTAGTATAGTACACAGCTGACGCATGGTAGGACAGTGATAGAGCGTATTGGATGTCAAGGGCAGCCTCGCTAGACGGACTGAGCGAGTGCTGTAGATTACGCCCACCATTGATGGACACCACGGAGAAGTTGGCATCGGCCTGGTTCGGGGCATACTCTGCAAGGAATTGCTCCAGGTCGTCATACCGTGCATATTCCTCCAAGAAGCCCGAGACACCCAGCCGGTTGCGTGGGTCGGGTATTATCTCGGTATCATTGATCCCATAGAGCTGGCGCAGACAAGCGGGAGTCACTGTCCTCGAGCAATTGCCAGCGAGGTCTTCTGCAGTGAGCGCGACAGGCACGAAGGTTTCCGGACTGTCCTGGGCTTGAGGAGATCCGAACCGTGTTGTAGGCTGAATAAGCTGGACAAACGGACGAACATCCTCTGGGACGGAGTATGCGAGCGTTCGGATTGTTGTTGTCTGTGTCCTAGAGTGGTAGAAGTGGCTGAATTGCGTCTTCATCATCGACTCTGCCTGCGATAATGGAATAGTGAACGCAAGCCAGTCGCCTCGATCTTCGATGGACTCGGCCGGCACATGTTCCCATTCTAGCCATGAACGGACTTTGGCAGCAGCCTGCTCCGAAGGGCGCATAGACGCCCGGAGCTCCTCTCTGGTTAGATGGCGGCCATATTCGGGATGGCCAGGAGTTGATCGCGCTATCACCTGCTCCTCAAACTGAGAGACGTTGGACCTGCGCATCGCCAACCAGAATCTCGTTGGGGTTGATGTTGCCGGACCAGACTGTCGCATCCACCCATCTGGAACATTCTGCAGCTGGTCCACGACAAGGTACCTGTCTGCAGGAATAGCGAGTGTAGCGGTCCCACAGACCAGCACGGGCAAAGCACCCAAGATGATCGGCATAAAACGCGGCCACATCCTCGCGATATAGCATAGAAAGCGCGCGGTATAATCGAAGAACTGTACCCACGTGGCTCATTCAAACCCCGGACCTCACATGGCTTTTGAGTCATCGAGTGGATGGCCGATCTCTTCTGCTCTTCCGTAATTTCCCAGTGACGATTACAACTAAGCTTTCTTCCGCATGGCGTCCGACGAGAGCTATTCCCTGTCAATTGCAGAATAAGCTCAAGCCTCAACCAGAGTCTGGGTCGATCAGTCCTTCAGCATGGTCAAGTATATAGAGTCTCTGATTGGTGTCAGCAAGGTTTACTCCGCGGAAACCTTCGACAATAGACACGTGTTTGGTCCGCTGGCCAATCTATTGTTTGGCTCCAAATGTCTCCTCGGCAAAAGTTGTTCGATTTTCTGGATCGCTGTGGTCATTGTGTCTCTGACTGTGATGGCGACCTCTGGGATTGGGCTTGCACGCTGACAATGAAGCTTCTGGAAACTGCAGTATTGGGTAGCGACGGATCAGACGGGAGCGTAAGGCCAATCGTCTGCGCCTTTGCCGTTTATTGAACACTGGCTGGGGAACCTTGAAGCTCTATTGAAGACCAGATGGGGCGGAGCCATTGATTGAGACCCGCTTCAAGCGATCCGCTAGTCCTGCTCGGGACCCTGTTGTTGCCTCAGGCCATAAGGTTAGTTGTCGGATCTTTGTCCCAGTCCCAGTGGTACTGTATCAAAATCCTACCCAGACATGTGAAGCTTTCTGATTCCAGGGAAGCGAAATCACTTGGATCACGGTCACATTGGAGTGATGAGCTGTGGGCTTTGTGTTCTATCAAAACACCTGCTCTTTAGTACAAGGAAGCCATTGTATTTGTATTCGAGCATTTATTGAGGACACTCACTCACTGATTTGCCAAGTACGCCAATTTCAAGGACTTTCTGCACTAGTGTGAGCATTCTTCATGGTGGTTCTGAAATTCTCTCAATAATTTTCAAGTGAAAGACATGACCGAAACTTTGCTACGACTTGGTTCGCAAAGGGCGAGTATGATTTGGACTCGATTATCAGCACTGCAGCTCAAAACGCGTCGAAGAGCCAGAGACTCTTGATAGGCGCGGTCAGTGATCCACCAGACGTCTGCTTGGCAGAGAAGCTCCAACCAAAACATCAGGAGCAGCAGCGCCCGTTCATCCCGCTCAAGCAGAAGATCCCGGTATGTTGCAGAGATCTTAGGCCCGAATGACAGCAATGAGTTAGTGCTGTGGGCATTTACCTCGTATCGCTGCAGCATGGGAGCGATGACGCTTAAGGGTGCATAATATGGGTTATTGTCGGGACGGCTACCGGTAGTGACATCACATAGATCTTCCAGCGCACATCGCAGAGTCTGAGACAAAGGCAAATCTTGCCGAGTAGCGGGCGGGACTTCGAACACATGCAGCTTCTGTCTTTCATTTTTCAAGCGCCAGAAGCCTTGCTGCGGGCTTTGTTGCATCACTCTCGCCAAGTAGCCTAGTCCACCTTGTACAGACAGCCAGCTGAGGTAGTTTACCCTAGCCGTTGCAGTGGGCTGAAATACCCAAGATTCGTATGGCGATCTCTCATGTGAGGCGAAGGAGATCATGTTTAGGAGAAGCGCGGTGGCATAGACAGCGTCTAGCTTACTCAACACTCTCGGGTGCTGCGCAAGCTCTTCCCTAAGCAAGCGTGTTGCTGTCTGCGTATGAAGCCAGCACGCCTTTTGGTACCCGGTGCTTGCAGGCTGCAGATGCTGCAGATGTCGAGCCGAAAGTGCTAGAAGAGCATTATGAAGCATCGGAATGGATGCGCAGTTGGGTAACAGAAACCGATTGAATATCTCTTTGCCAACTTCAGACGTTAATGTTGCATCAAGGCAGCTGTCAGTATGCCGCAGAAGATATATTAATTTGGGTGCTGGCGAGAGTCCACCAGGAAGCCAGGATCCGGTGAGATTCAAGCGGTTGTTGACATGACTATGATTGCCTACCGCATGGCCTGCCCAGCCAAGCTCGTGATCTTCCAAGCTAGCCTGATTGCAGGCAGCATGCGGGTCACCATACACACACAGCGTCCGGCGCTGGCAGCATCTGCGGCAGCTGGGGCGATTCTCGTCGCATTTGACTCTGCTGCTCTTGCACGCTTGGCAGCCTCCACGGGACTTGGTATGGGACTTTCGAGACAAGCCTCGCTGTTGGGACTGTCTCTTGGGTGCGGAACTAATGCGAAATTTTCTCAATCCGGCCGTGATATCCATTGGGCTTTTGAGGGTGCGGGCATTGAAACACATACGGATTTAATGGACATACTCAGTAGCCTAGGTCTCAGCGCTGCAACGGGTACTTCGAGCCTAATCCCAAAAAGGCAATTTTCGTATCTCGGAGTGGAGCAGTCATGACATGAGAACTATGAGGTCCGAGTCTTTGCTATAAGTTCGAGCTTTTGTCCTTCGCAGATATTTGTTCTTCACGAGGGCTTTACTGACCATACTGAATGATACAATGGTTCGTGTTGCTATCGCTGGAGGCCATGGCGGTGTTGGCCGCACAATTCTGGAGGTGTTGGAGGAATCTTCCGAGCACGAAGCTCTTGTCCTATCCCGCAAGGTTGGATTCATCGCATGTTTTGTTCTTCTTCTAGGTGCTTCGTTACTGACAAGGCTGAGTAGTCCGATGGTGATGGCGGCAGAACAATTCAAGTCGATTATAGAAGCGTTGACAAGTTGTTTGCTGTGCTAGAAACACATCAGATCGACACAGTGATCTGTTGTTTTGCCGTGGAGGGAGAGTCTCTGGCGATATCGCAGCTGAACTTGATCCAAGCTGCCATCAAGTCCAAAGTTACGCGGCGATTTGTTCCTAGTGGCTTCGCCATTCCGTATCCTCAGGAGTATGTTCCGCTAGGATGACCCATACTTTTACGTGCCATATAAGCTGATGGCTCTTAGTGCCGTGGAGCTTTTGCCGCAACTTGCGGACTATTTCAAAGCGATTGAGATTCTTCGACAGTCTGGTCTCCAGTGGACCGTCTTCCTCAATGGCATCTTTCTTGACTACTTCGGGCCATCGACGCTCAAATCATACCTCAAACCGAATGTCTTCGTTATAGATATGAAAAACAAGATAGCAGGAATCCCCGGAGATGGTGAAGCTCCAATCACATTCACCTACACCTTTGACCTGGCCCGGTACGTCGTTTCCATGCTTGACATGGAAGACTGGCCCGAAGAAAGCCGTGTGATCGGCGATACTGTCACCTGGCATGAATTCGTCCGGCTGGCGGAAGAGATCTGCGGTGAGTCTGTTTTTCGCTTTCTTTGAGAGTCCTTTCTAATTTGAGCCACCAGATTGTCGATTCGATATCCATTATGACAGCATAGAAAAACTCCGGGGGTTCGAGATTACCGAGTTGCCTGGACATCGAGCCCTGTATCAACATTTTTCGAAGAAAGCCTTCCAGTGGTTCATGTCAACCTTCGAACTCTATACCGCAAACGGCACGTCCTGCATTACGACCCAAGACTCGTTGAATAAGCTCTTCCCCAGCATCCAGCCGCTTACTGTGCGAGACATGCTGAGCAAATACTGGAGTGATGATTGAAGAGGTCAATGGGTCCATGTGGGTGAGCCACTACGCTGGTCGGGTGCGAGCAAATCGACGTGGCCTCTGAACATGATTAGAAGCCGGATTTGTCTCGAAAAGTTGTTTGGCGATCCGGGGGAAGCTCAGATTGTTCATTTTGGAGGAACAATGTTGCGCATGATTTGGAATATTAGTGTCCCTAGATGCAACTAGTAATAATTTACCTGCTGGATTTGTAGGCTCACATGTCTGGATCGTGCCATGAGAAAAGGATAGCTGCTTAGACTATTCTGCCCAAGGTTGTATGCTGTGGTATGCCAATTAGCACGCTAGATAAATACGTAGGTGTTGGCAGTGATGGCTGGTGTTTGCACGGAAGCCCACCGGAAATGGGCCTATCCAGTGGGTCTTGCGAGCGGAAAATGATCCGTCCGCCGCAGTGCTGGGGTCTAGAACGGGGCTGTCAACCCTATTCCGTTCCAGTTCCTCATTGTTCAGTAGAGCCGTGATTTGGTTGTAGACATTGACTAGTCGCTCTATCTTCTTCCTACCTTATACTCTGTAGTGTGTGGAACAATGGGTTGGATGCGCATCGGACCGTCTAGCTGCATGTTGCATTCCATACCCTGTCATCTGTCACCGGATAAACCAGACCCCAAGGACTTCTGGCGGTTCCAAAGCGGGTCGGTAAGCAGGATGACATTGGATAGTGCAGGGGCCACTAATTGTAGGCCGGCCGTACGGACCGTGGGGTCCAAAAAAGAAAATCCACGGCGTGATGTGCCTGAATGAGGACGGATGGCCGAGGATAGACATGTCATACAGTCAGAGACCAGTGTGAAATGGCGGGGTAGGCCGATGTCCTTCTTCACTGGGGCGAGTCAGCATATTTCTTCGTTGGCGCACAGCATTACTCCGTACCTAGTAGTTTGTCTTGGACCCCAAAGTCTAGTTCCTTTAACCGAGAAAAAAACCCCTGAAATTCGGGTAATGCGAGGTATCCTGATGGTTGGGTCAGCAATTAAGAAAAAAAAAATAGGATGCATGATTCACTTGTCTTCTGAGGGTGGGAAAAGGTGCTGTACTCTGTAAGTGTACAGTACAGGTGTAGATAGATGGTGCCCAGTGGGTTGGCAAACTTGGCACGGACCGGGAACTTAACAACCCACCACAACTCACTCAGGCACGGACTTCCTTGTCCTTATCTGCTCCCCCTCTTGACACACACACATCGTTGATTGCTTGTCTCCCAATTATGGAGGTATTCTCTCCGAATCGCAATTGTCGGACCCATCATGATGAATCTTACTGCTGGCTTCATTATCATTCATCCTCCATTACTTAGCCACATCCCCATATCAATTTGAGAAACAATACGCCAAACACCTATTGGATCGGTAAGTGTCATGTCAAGGGTGTCCTTGAATGTCAGTCTTTCTAATAGATTGATTTATCATCCTTAGCTCATCGAATTAAAAATCAGTACCACTCGACCATCGCATCAATCATCTTAATAAGTCTCCTTGCAAGAATCATTGAGAATTGATTTTCCCACTAGTTCTCGTCTGCATGCATTCACCCACTCATCACCTCCACGAGGATCCGGAGAGTAATGATCGTCTCCGTCCTCGCAATGGTACCAGTCCATCTGATCCTCTCTTTCAGCTTCCATGCTGAGTTCGTTATAATGATTACGATCTCCCGTTGAAAAAGACTACTACCGCTTCTGTATTAGTCCAACCGACCGCCTAACGACAACACCAGCCTGTGAGGCTGGGGCGCTTGCAGCCCGTGCCATTAGCGGGCCTGAAGGCAACGGACAAACCACATGTAAGACAGACACGCAGCCTCGCATATCCATAAGCTGGAACCCCGACTAGACCATCTTCCAACTTGACTACCGCAAATTGGAGCTGCACCACCTACATAAGACACTTTTTGACTCTAGCACTGCTTGCGATTCGTCCTAATCGGTCCCGGTCACCTGGCAGAGAGTGGACAACGGCTGCTGCACTCTGTTGCTCAGTCTGTCGGTCTCTTGTGCTTCTTACTTTCCATTTTCACTCACACTCCTCTGCCTCTCTGCTATTTTTTTCGCCCTCCACCAGCCCTGCCCGAGTAGGCTCCTACTACGCCCGCTCTCGACGATCTGATCTCCGCTTCTGGCCCTCATTCCCGCTCTCTGCTTCGTCTTCGTCTTCTACCCTAGCCGCCTGCGAACCCGCTCCCCTCGAATTCGACTTGGCTTGCTCGCTCTTATGTCCGAGGCTTGTCACCCCTGTTTCCTCCATGTCACATCCACTGGTGGCAGCCGTGTGGGAACAGCTAGGGCGCCGTGATCTAGCGAATATCCTTCGCGAAATTATCGGCGAACATGTGCTAGACATCGCGGTATCTCAGCCGGACGGCCAGTCCGCCTCCATCGAACCACTCACCCGAACCGTTTTCTGGATAAAGACCATCTTCGATGCGCAACGAACCTACCTTCAGGGCCTGGCGAGTGTCCACGAATGCCACCCCTACTTCCTTCCTTACCTACTGCCATCGGAGACGGTCTTCTCGACATTGATGTACCTGCTGAAGGTGAAGCTAGAGCTTTTCCCTTGCAACCGGCCAACCGATCCAGAACTCGTCGGCTACCGACATCTGATCGCGCATACTCTACTCGCTGGTACTCGAGTCCTACTGCTGCGCGGAGAATCCATTAACACTGATAAGAAGTTTCGGTTCGAAAAAGCGATGCGAGCTGCCTGGCGGAACTCGGACCTTTCAAATGTTGAGCGGTTCCTCATTAGTGATCTCCTCCCCAAAGCAATCGACTCTATCGGCTCGACTGAGCTGTCAGCGACCCAGACACTTACAATCGATCGTGGAAAACCCTATCTGCCGTCGTTCGCCGCAGGGCTGGTAAGTGCGCCTATTCGACTGCTGTTCTAATTCCAGAAGGAGGCTCACGGCGTCTGCAGTATCCAGTTTCGGGGGCGCCGGAGACCCTCATCACAGACCTCCTAACAGGACTTATGAAAAGTAATGCCGACCAACTGGTTTCCTTCAATTTGCTTCTCGACGTCCTCTGGGCAGTAGATTCTGCCCTCATCCAGTGTCACATAGATCGCCGTCGGATTTCCCAAGAGCAAGGATATACGAGTTCCGCAGCGCTAAAGGTAGACGAGGCCTTCAAACAAGCACAAGAAGTCAAGAAGAAGTTGACTCGAACGGTACTGGCGGCCTACGATGATGAATTCAATACGGCGCCGCTTCAGGTATTCGCCACCACTATTCTAACGCAGACGGCCGATGATAGTCCTCCGCTACAAACACGAAGGATTCGAGATACTTGGTCGCAGCTCGCCCGCATTCGGGAATCATGGGAACGGGCCCTGGGCCAATTCGTTCGGTGGCTCATCAACCGGCGGGTACAGATGTGGGATTGCAATGGTGAACTCGAAGCATTTTCGCACGACTATCAACAGCATTTGACCCAATGGTTGCAAAACTCATCGGCCGCCGACTTTGACCCCACGGCACCGATCAAAACAGGCCGTTCTAGCACGGCAGTCTACGTCGTCAACTGCCCTGCGGTGCACCCTGTGCCGGGCGCAATGTTGGAAGAACAATTGAGAAGCCATGATCGAAAGGCTTATGAGGTATGCTATGCACCCAACAATCGAGGCTAGGGCTAGACACAGATGCTGATATTTTTCGTTAGCAATTCCAAGGAAACCCCGAATTTCTGACAATGGATGTCACATGCCCTCTATGTCCTGGCAAAGCCCGTATCCAACATGCTCGTATGATAGAGCCTCTCGAACAGGTTTCTGACGCCCTACACCTCTTCTCGGACTCGGACGGTGAGGGACAGCCGTCTCTTCCAGACTCTGCTTCTCGAGCGACCACTTCATGTTCGAGCTCGCTCAGCCATTCTACAAGCCACTCATCCCGTCTTGACTCGGTGGAGATAGTGAAAAGTCCGACCTCACCAACACCTCCTGTGACAGCTGTTTCGAAAGCAAATGGCAAGACTCCTAGTGTCACAACGTCAGAAATCTTCAACCCCGTCTTGTCGCGAAGTCGGACCGACCAGTCATTTGACAAGCAAGCGATCAAGACTCTTTCCCGTGATCTCAAGAATGTGAAGATACCTTTCTCGAGCGGGACTTCACTCTTCCGAAGAAACTCCTCGAAAGGGCAGCAGTTACCTCGCCAGCCCCGGTTTTGTTTCTCAGCCACCGGGAGCTGTCTGCTCTTCTGGGGTGCCGGAAGTAACTGGGTCATGCGATTTGAACTAGGCCAAGGCGAGGGCAAAAAACCGAAGAGTCACAAATATGACATTCCGGGCGTGCAACAGGCTGCAGCAGGAGATCAACGATGTGCCGTCATCGCTTCAGTAGGACAGGTAAGTAACTTGCATCATTGAATTCGAGCCAGTGCTGACAGGAGCCCAGCATTACGAGCTCCTTGTTTTTGAAAACGACAGTGATATCCCAGAAGCCTATTTGACTATCGAGACTGATCATCAATCATTACCAATTAGTTGTATGGTCATGTCTCGTAACGATAGATATGTTGCCTTCACACTCAGAGACCAAGTTCGCGTCTATGAGATTTGCACCAGGACTATCCAGAGAGTCTCCCTCGGCAGTGGAATGGACCGCGTTTCGGACTTGGGCAACCGATCCTTGATGGGCTCGTTTTCTGGTGCTAAAGAGTCTGGCTTCGAGGCCCAGCGACAAGAGGCCGTGATCGAAAGGAAGCTTCAATTCTCTGCCGATGGCAAACACTTTGTGATTGCTACCCATCTGGGTGATCACTATGCTTATGTCGACGTCTGGAACTGCACGTTCCAGCAATGGAATATAGTCCCTGATAGCTCCAAGTCCTTCAAGCTTCCTTCTGTGCGTCTGCCTGTTTAATCCTATGACCTCTGGCATTTCAAGGCTTACTGACAACTACCAGTGGACGACGAATGATGGGGATTTGACTGGCGTGTACTACGATAGCTCTCATCATGCGGTATTATTGACCGCATTCTTCGGCAAGGAATATCCCTTGTCATTTTCCATGACAGACAACAAAATCACCAATGATCCGTTCAGTACACGAATCGTACATGCAGCACAGTCACCATCCGGCTCTCGCTTTATAATCGCAAATGGCATGTGCGATATCTATCTATGCGATGCGAAGGCCTCTGGTGGTATTAATCGTTCCCGGTTGAAAAAGGCATCGTACAAGATGAATCCAGCGGTATTTCGGCCCGGACAACTCGCACTGGCGTTTCCCCAGGAGTATGAAATGTTAGCCTTCTGGGTGAAGACGGGAAAGTTGATGCTGAGGACCGTGCGAATGCAGGGGGGCATTGAAAGCGTCAGTGATTATGACCTGCGACCCGACTATGATCGGCTGGTAGTCGAAAGACCGCCTGTTGCCGACTTTCAAACACAACGCAGACGGCATTCACTATTGTCGCATGAACTGGTGGCGGAGATCGATGGCCTACCCTCAATACCTCGGCCAGACCTACCCGAGCTGTCATCCACATAGGAAAAGATTGACCGAGGGTGAGGTCTGAGTTCGGGGAGTCTGTACGTTCTATGATGTCGGCGTTAGGTATCTGATCTCTAGCGCTGCAGACAGCGTATGTACTTATGTGTGATGAGATATAATATACAATAACTAATCAAAATAACTAACGTGAACATACACAACATACAGCATCCAATGCATGCCACCTTGCTACCCACCTTGCTACCTGGTCGTAGATGAGTGGTGGCCTGACTTTGCCCCAGGCACCATGACCCCAAAGGGGGATAGTGCGGGGAAGCGGAGAAGTTTATCGCCGGGCCCCGATTGTAAGCGACGTCACCACCTGGTCTTCTCCTCATCAGACAACGAGCAACACAACCTGGAAGGAAAGTTAATGCTCCAGCTGCACCAAGACATCGGGACAGTCACTCAAAGCTTCCGTGTGGTGAAGATTCTTTGAAGTTGGATCGAGGTGGGTTGTTACTATTTTATTCCATTTGCTCTGAGTAGCTTGAGCTTCCCCTCAGATTGCCACTAGTGGATCGCGCCGGCTGATCGACCCCGGCCATGAAAAAACGCCCCGGTCGAGGTGGACTGACTTAGCTGCCTGCCATTCGCATCGGCCTCCTGGAACTGACAATATTCCCTTGATTTTAGACTCTTATCCTCTGTGTCGAACCTAGGCGAAATATCTTCGTTCCCCCAGTGAAGTTGCGTTGAGAAAGCGACCCTTCAACCCCCATATCCTAAACCGGCTTGGGAAGCAGAAGATCGGTCGACGTCATCAATACATTTCTTCTTTCTGTCTCCAATTCCTCCTACGGGGATCTCCCCCGCTATCAATCTGCAACCTTCAGTCTCCCTTCCCCTTTCTTCCTCTGTTCCTTTCCCCCTTTTCTTTCATCCTCCCTTCCCATCGATCGTACCTCTGTATTCACCATGTCTATGCCTGATTTCGATACCTCTCGACGGCCGTCTCAGGCCGAGAACCAGACGATCCTCAAGTCCGAGATACCATTGAAGGAGCGATTTTTCCGCTATTTTCAGCATGAAATCACCGGTATGGCTTAACCGATCTAATTGATGTCCTGCGAATTGGCCTTCTGGCAAGGGGAGAGAGTCTGACACATGTGCTTGCTGCAGCCCTTCAGGAACAGATGGATCGGTTGGCGGATACATCCCTGATAGGGGGAGAGCGGGCAGATGCAACCGATCACTGTCTTGCCGGCATTGCGCGCTTGTCCAATGAAGTCAAAGATGCGGCTAGCTACATTCCCACCTACGATCAGCGGATATACGCCGAAGTAAGCTATTGCTTTATGTCGATGGTGAAAGTGCAAGGCTGATAGACAGTTGTATACAGGCTATCAAAGCGCTGCAGGACAAACTAGTCGAAACCCGGGCTGCTGTGGAACCGCGCCCCAAGTTCAGTTTCAAGACTAAGAAGAATTCCTCGGCTATCTCTCTCTCTGACGCGGCACAAATGGCTGCGCAGGTACGCAGTATCCCCGGATTTGCCTCGCCCGGCTCGTCCTCCGTGGGCTCGTCCGCTGCCCAAACCCCGATGTATCCGTCAACTCCGCTCAATGAGCCCGACAACCGGCTTCATCTTCTGCAACGGCCGGAGATTGCCCCCACATCGATTCCAGCTATCCCGGTCGACGAGGGAGCGGATGATAAGCTCAAGCCGCCGGAGCAGCCCCATGGGTTTGCAGCCACCGCTATTACCTCCGTGTCAGTGAATAACCATCACAACCTCCACATCATGCTGCCATCCTCAGGGTCTACAGCCAACGTACCCGCATCTATCACCTCGCTGCGCCATTGCGTGGTCGACATGTCAATACCGACCGTCAACGGCAAACCTTACGCTAGTCTCACCGCAAAGAATGTGAAAGAGAGCCTTCTGGTCTGCGGACAGATCAATGGTCCCGCTCACATCACCGACGTGGAGCATAGTATCCTCGTGGTGGATTGTCGCCAGTTCCGTATGCATAATTGCTCCAACGTGGACGTCTACCTGAGTGCGTCCAGCAATCCTATCATTGAAGACTGCACCAATATCCGATTCGGTCGGATACCCCGCATCTATGTGAGTATCTCCAGAGCACTTTCCTTGCCGTGAACAATACTCTAACCACCTCCGACAAACAGACATTGAACCACGATCGGCCCGACGACGAAGACCGCTGGAGCGAGGTCGAAGATTTCAAATGGATCAAGCCGGAGCCAAGCCCTAACTGGAGCCTGCTCGATCCCGAGGATGCAGTTCCTGAAGAGGTTTGGGCGGAGATTGTGCCCGGAGGCCCCGGCTGGTCTTTGGAGGATATTTTACGTGCCATTAACATCTCAAAGGTTTAAGATATTGGGGCGTGGGCATGGGCGTGGGTCGTGAAAGAATCAGGAGCGTGAGGCGTCGGGGAAATTTACGAGAAGTTCTTTTTCGTTCGTATCTGACATTTGGTTTTATTGCATGAACGTTTTCTCCATGGAGAGGGTGATCTATACAAGGGAAGAAATTTGGCGCCCTGGACAAGCACTGCGCTTCTCGCAGAGACTGACGACGGTGGGATTTGCCTCATTTGTCATTTGGTGTGGTGGTCAGCATGGTTGCTTGCTTGCTTGCTGCTTTTCCTGCTGGCCTTAGTGCCGATATCTGATATCTCTGCATGAGACTTCCATTTACTCTCCAATTCTAATCTCACCTCCATTTTACTTGTTTCATGGTTTATGGCATCTGTGGTGATAGATGACCGGTTTCTATATCTGAGGCGTTGGGTTTCACGCCCCAAGCGACTGGGTTGCGTGCCACCAACGGAAGCGCTCGTCTGCAGCCACCGCGTGATACTTCTGAACAGTGATGCAAATACAGCTTCTATGCTAATATTACATGCAGTACAAGGCGGTATACATGACACATCACAAGCTAAATGCTTAACTATCTGTTACCAGGTAGCCAGCTGCGTCCACCAGTGGGCCGTCGAGTATTTGTATTCTGGTTGGCCAGGCAGGTAGTGAGGGTGCGAATCATCGGCAAGGAAGAGTAGGTAAGGAGTTCGAGGGACTTGCTTGGTGGTGCATCTCGAGGGCTTTATCATACCGGTGTGAGTACAAGAACAGAGTCTGGATTAGTTATACTTCGCGACAGAAAAAGAGATACGCTGAGGCTGTTTCCACCACAGTGAATTCCGCACTTTTCGAATCCATGACCAGACTGCATAAATCGTGGTGGCCATTCCACCTATATCTCTGGGCGGTGGTGCTGGTGCTGGTGCTGGTGCTGGTGCGGCTGCCGGCCTGTCACTGCCATATACCGAATACAACTGCAGGAGACCTCAACCTCACCCTCGGTCTTGGTCTTGCTCCCAAACTCTCCAGCGGAGCAGACATCTATCTACGCGGGAGCGTCGAGTCCGACCGCCTCGCAAGGCGATACACCGACTTCGACCGTCCCACCTTCGCCGCTATCGTCGCTGTAGCCTCCACCAGGGATGTCGTGGAAACCGTACGTTGCCGGGTTTGCGTGTGTCCTTGCCCGAAGCATCGGAGTGCAATTTGCTGATTGATGATTTTCTCGGTAGATTCAATCTGCCAAGGCCCTGGTGGAAGAGGTCGTGCTGGCGGAGACGGCAGCGGCGGGGTTGGTCTAGTTGGGGCCTAATAGTGCCGCGGTGCGGTTTCTGGCGCGGTGGCTTCCGGCTGCGTTGTTGGTATGTTTTCTGTAGTCTTTTCCCTACGTTGTTGGCTGGGTTGTGGCTGGGATTTAGTTGTGGTGTGGTACGATGGAAGGGTTAATAGTCTGGCTGGATCTTTTGGTGGTCAGTGCTGACGCAGGGCTTCGTGTAGGACCGCTTGATGATGAACGGTCAGGGTTTGGATGAGCTGACCAAGAGCCTGGAGGCTAAGAAGTAAAGTGAAGTGAAGAGGAAGACTATCGATTGTCCACAGTGATAGTCTAGGCTACATAAGGGAATGGTGACGGTGGTAGGGAGTACAGAATGAAGAAAACAGGGACGTGAACGAAGACCAAATATGATGTAGAGTACAAAGTGCAAAAGCTGGATGAAGCCCCTTCAGCATCCGCCGTAGATCGGGCCCGGCGCGCTGCGGGGCGGCGGGCCTTCCCGCAGCGCGGCGAGCTCGGATGGCGCGCCGCCGCGTCCAGCCCGGCCGCGGCGAAAAGCAAGTAAGTACATACTCTGGGAATGGGAACCAAGGATGCGGTGGTTGTAGCAAATTGTGATATACTAATTTAGCTCCCCCGGTATCATGTACCAGTCTCTGTACTCTTCACCCATACAATAATGATATAATACTGGATAGGCGCATCAATAAGTTTCTATCTTTCTATCTCAAATCCCATTATAAGGCTTACCTGCATGATACATGTACACTCATAGGGCGTGGACAGCAGGGCTTCCTTTTTACTCAGCTATACTTAAGCTAGATGTAGATGTGAAAAGGTCAGTAGTCAGGTAGACACGTATCAATCATTCCCTACTACTACATATCTATCTATATCTGTTATTTCACTAATCTAGATAGAAATTTGGGACTATTCTACTCAAGATCATTCAAGTGGGCTTAGGATCCGTCTATTTAAGTATATTATCTCTCTTTTCTTTCGTTGATATCTCTTTTTTATTTTCCTACCTTCCTATATCAATGGTTTTGGATGCACAAGGCAAGGCCCATGGCACTGTTATCTCCTAGTTCAGTGCAGAACGCTGTACAACAAGCACACAAATCTCAACGGCATTCAACCCTAGCACCTGTTACCACCCCGCATCACAAACCTCAACGACAATTATCCGGCGACCGCGGCGGCGGCGGCTCCCCAAAGCCGCAAACCATCGGACAAACCATATCCGCCAGGGTATAAACCGGCTGGAAGTCAGGCAACGCACCCACCACCAGCCCCAGGTCCCCCTGCGCCCCTCCACTCTGCCCCTCCCTCCGCTGCAACACAACACAAAGACTCGTCGTAGGAAACTGCTCCCCAGCACTACACACGAAGAAAAAATGGTGCCACTCCACCGCCACCTCCTCAAAGCCAGACACCATCCGCACCTCACGCCGCAGCGCCTGGAGCGCGACACGTTCCCCGTGCTCCAGCTCATCGCACCACTGCAGCCGCGCCTCCACGCGCAACGTACAGACCTGCCGCATCGCGCGCACCTGCTCCACCCACCCCGTCTCATAGAACCGGAGCCAGTCCGGCAGCGCCGCGCGGAGGTTCCGCGCGTGCCAGGCGCGGTTCGCGCCCAGCCGGATATGCAGCGTGGCGAGGGCCGGCAGATGCTGCTGCATCCAGGGGAAGAGGGCCTGCCAGGGGACGAGGAGGTCGCGGTGCACGCGCGCGGTCGCGAGCGCGCGGTCGTCCCGGTTCGGATGCCGCAGGGCGCCCGTCGCCATCCCGCAGTCCAGGTAGACGTCCAGCCAGAGCTTGAGGTGGCGGATGCTGCCGTGGACGGCGGGCGGGAGAGAGGCGAGGAAGGCGAGACAGCGCGCGGGCGAGGCGTCCAGCCAGATGCGGTTACAGCTAAAAACTAGCGGCAGGGTTTCCGCGCGCACGCGCTGGCTCGTCCGGAGCAGGCCCAGGGTCAGGCGCGGGCGCGGTCGGCGCGGCCCCCCGCCGCCGCGCACCGGGCTGTAGGGCGTCGCGTCCCACCAGCGGTGTCGGCGTTGGCTGTAGCGGATCCACAGGGCTCCTCCATCGCCGTCGTCGCTGTTGTTGTTGTTGTTGTTGTTGTTGTCGACGGTTAGCAGTTCGCGGTAGATCTGGTCGCGGAGCTCCCGCGGCAGGCGTAGGAAGGGGAAAGGAGCCGGGTCAGGCGGGCGGCGAACCGGAATCCCGCGAGGCTGGAAGAGACGGCCCATCGTTTTCAGTTTGCGTTGATAGACCTTCCATTTGGGCGGTGGCTTGGCTGCTGGGACTGTTCCGTCGTGGATCGTCATGGTTGATGGTGGTGGAATAGCGGAGTCGAGCGGAGACGGGAGGTCGGGGGAGCCTCAGGCTTGGAGCCTGGTCGACCCTAGCTCGATACTAGGAGTACCTAGTAAGTAGTATCATCGCTAATCTCCTTTGAGGAAAGACGAGACTGAGGGACCTAGTGGTACTATGGCTCTGATTGGGCAGTAACATCGAGGCCTCGGAATCTGGTCGCTCTACGTTCCTTCCTGTTAACACACCTATTAACTTCTGGGAGAGGCTCGGGTGATAAATTGACATAGATTACTTATCCTACAGTGTTTTTACAATCATTACCATAAAGAAAAGTCATGACAAGTCATCAACGGATATGGATCCAAGTGTGCAATTTCAAATCTCAACTATTTCCGTAACTAGTATGAGAGAGAGAGAAAAAAGAGACGTGACAAATCTCGGATGTATGATACAACCACTCAGGAAAGAAAAGAACGAAGATAACAGGCTAGAAAGGCTAGATGGATATGTCCCTGGACTTGCGTAAGCAAGCAGGTGAATAGAAAAGAGAAAAGACAGAAATGCTCATTCTTTTTTTAAGACGTCAAACCCGAAAACCCAGGGCGGAGATCTAGAATTGAGGCATGCCGCCCTGATTGAAGGTCGGGAACATGCTCTCATCGGTGCCAGTCCCAGTGCCGAAAGTGTCCATGAACACATTGTTCATATAAGGGTCATCGCACAAGGCTTCAATGGCACTCATATCGACTGGTCCCGGCTGGTACATGGGGTCGGTGTATCCGAAGGAAGCGTCTTCAAAGAAGCCAGACGTTCCGTTGTTGAACGTGGCAAAGTCGTTGGCAAAGTCGTTGTCCATGTACAAGAGGCAGTCCTCGTTCTTCAATTGCGTGAAAGGGTCTTGAAGCTGGAACATCTGGCTTTGTGCATAAGTGTTCAAAAACCCAGTCGGCGACTGGATCGGGCCTGACGCGGGCGTGCTCGCCTGAGTGTGGCTCGCTTGCGCCGGGCTGAGGTGGCCGGAGCTGATTGGAGCGGGGCTCGGTTGCACAGAGTGCATCTGGTTAGATGGACTATAATGCTCCGGGCTGTAGCGCTCAGAGCTGTAGTTCTCCGGGCTGTAGTGCTCCGGGCTGTAGTGCTCCGGGGTCATTTGCAGGGAATTCAGGTGGTCCGGAATCATTGGAAGTGAGCTCATGTGGTCAGGGCTCATCTGCAGAGGGGTCATCAGAGACGGTGCCAGATTGACGGAGCTAGCTTGGCCGGGACTCAGTTGCTGTGGGCTGGGCTGGGCGACACTGTCTTCTTGGGCAGGGCTGGCTTGTACAGGTGAGGGACGGCGCTTGGCATTGCGTCCATTGTTCTTCGCGCGCACATAGTTCCATCCATGGGCTTTCTCCATGTGCTGCTTGCAATTACTCTCGCGCTTGGACTTGTACGAGCAACCATTGAAAGTGCAGGCATACATGCGAGGAGTGGAGGAGTGGCGATCATTGATATGGCGCTCGTTTTCTTTCTCGGTGGGCCAGCCAAGCTCGTAGTACTTGCATCCTTCGAAGGGGCACTTGAAAGGCCGTGAATGAGTCTTCTCGTGTTTGCTAGATATCAAGTCAGCGACCACAATCTGCATGCAAATAGTATCGACACTCACGTCAAATCACAAGGTCTTTGGAAGATTTTATCGCAGTGGGAGCATTTTGTATTGATGTTCATGGGAGGGGCGTTCTTCTTGCGCCGAGCCATAGACCGCCTAGCGCCCTCATCAGTGGCTCCCAGGCTCAAAGTTCGCTTCACCATAGGAACGGCAAGCGCGTCGTAGGGTTTTCCGCTCTCCAGTGAAATCATTTCGCCATCTTTTTCGACAACGAGCTCAAGTGGACGCCCTGTCTCGGCCATACCACCCTCCACAACAAGCTTCGGCCTAGCATTGGTTAGTCATATGTTAATTTGCTCGATTGGGAGGCACACTCACATTTCCTCCTTGTTCTTACGAGCCTCATCCCTCATGGCTTTGAAACGGTGGACCTGAGCGGTCAGATCGAGGAAGTAAGAGTTGCTGTAGGGGCGATCGGCTGGCATGCACAAGTCACGAGGGTCAACAGTGGTGTAGGTCTCATGCAGACACAAGATGGTTGAGTTGCAGAATTGATAGTAAAAGCTGAGTTCGGCCTCGACATCCTGTACGGAGACATGATCGTAAGCGTCGATCCCGGAACCAAGGTGCAGGAGACTTACTGCAGCTACGTAGAGCAGCGCCTTCTCAAGATCACGCAGAGTCCTAAACTTATCACTTTCCATTTGTTGACGAGCACCCTCCACGATATGACGGAAGGGCTTGCATGGCTCCATTCCCAGAAGAGGTTTCAAGATGCGGTTCTCAATTTCCAGGCATGATGCAGGGCTGAGCTTCTGCTTGGGTGCAGCCTCATTTTCGGCAGGTTGAATGGAGCTTAGGACGGCAGACAGTGTCTGGGATTTGGAAGCCGATTTGCCAGCTTTCTCTGTATGACTGGTTAGGTATGTCCCAAAGCCAAATATGATGGACGATAGCAACCAACCTTGTTTAAAAGACGTGGACTGACGGCTGCTGATCGAAGTTCCTAGCCCACTATCGGAAGCGTGGCAGTGTGTCCTTCGGTTCTTCTTCGCAAATCGTTTGTCGAGATCTTCCTTGCTCAACTTCAGCCGCTGAAAATGGGCCTCCAGACTATCATTGGAATCAGAAGATTCATCTTCCTCGTCGAACCGGCCGCGCGTACGAAAAGAACCGCTTTCGATGCGACCCAAGATCTTAGACATGCGTTCCTGACCGGCTGCGATAGCCTCGAGGGCTCCGGGACTAGTCGGAGAGCGAGGCAAAAGCGGGAGATTGAGGAGCAGGCCGTCTGAAGGCGAAGAGGTAGTGTAATGAAAGGTGTCCCCCTTCTTCATACGAAGACGGGTCCGAGAAGCCGACGGTGTCTCTGAAGAGGCGAGCAGAGACGGAGGAGGTGAGTTGATAACCCGCCCACGACGGGGATGTCGGGACGTCATGGTGTCGGAGGTCGACATTATCGTTGACGGGTGAACGGTTGAAGAAAATCAAAATGTTGTTGTGAGGTATGAATACTTCTAAGAAGTTAAACCACGTCACTCGTCCCCCATCACTATCCGGACTCACTGTTTATGCCTGGATAGAATTGCGAGTCGGGAACTGCGATGCGACCGCAGTGACGTATGAAGCCAAAGCGGAGATCGACGAGGTATTACTGGAGAGATGTTAGTTGCTGAAGCCATATATTTCACCAGAATAAAAGCATAACCCGTCACGCACCAACGGTTGTCGAGAAACGTCAGGTTTACGGAGGTCTCATAAAAGGGAGGGAGAGGGGGATGATGGAATGCCCCAGGCCGATAATGGAAATCAAGCAAGCACCACCCCTTTCCAGAGTTCATAAAACGGGACCAACAACACAAGCAAAACAACAAAAGTGGTGGTGACAGGTAAATGTGGATTTTCAGGTAACGATTCTAGTTTAGGAGAGGATAGGCTGACAGTTTTAGGGGAAGGGGGGGAGAGTGGATGAAGGAGGAATGATAGCGGAGATGAAGTGGAAAGAGAGAGTCAACGAAGTAGACAACTCAAATCGAGGAACGGGGTACGTACAAGGAGTAAACGGAAAGACGGAGAGTAACTGAGAATGAGGCTGTTTCCACCGGGCTGAGTCTCAGTCCGCGTCTTCTTGGATGTCTGCCTGATAGACGAGCCAGACCATACTCGAAGAGGAAAGGTGCCTGGAGTCTCCCCATTAACAGTAAGTGATTGGCTGCGAGGGGGGGCTTGGATCTTTTCCACAGCCACGGCACTCGTTTCGGCCGGAGTTACTCGGTAATGGCTCATACTGTCTAGGCATGCTCTTTTTCTATGTAAAGTGACATGTGACTGTGAAATATAACCGCTGAGATACCTGTATTCTACGTATTTCAATTGAGGTCGGGGTTTCGGGGCGGTTTAGTCCCGTCCACGTTAGGTTTATCCCATCTTCCCAGTTGACCATTCAGGGGGTCCAGAATATTCTCTCATGCTCTCCTGGGCGGGCTCCCGCGGAAGCCGGCCTTTCCGAAAATAGTCTGCGGACCCTCGACCCTCGAAGTGACCCCATCCAGCGATCTTATTGCCTTTGGCTTTTCCTCTTTGGCTCTTCTCCTTACCGTTTCTGCGTCTCTCGCCAAGTCTCCAATAGGTTTGCTACTCTATCGCGTTAGTGCAAGCGTGAGAGGTGGACGGGGCAGCAGTTCCTTCTACCAAAGGGGCTCTTTTCCACCACCTAGCATCCGTCGCATACTCAGGAAAAAGGAACCAAATCAGTGGTTATTTAGAATCATAATAATGACACAGATTCACCAGTGTTACTCGTATGCAACACACTGCGAGTCCGACTAACGCTTCCAAGTTCTAAACTCCTTCAGACGATCAAGTGCGCATCATATGACGGAATGGTAAATAAATTAACGGTCAACCTCGGTCAGCGGCATCCTGCTCATTCCCGATTTCCCGATTAAATTTAGCCTCTCGGGCGCTCTCTGATAGCGCGCGGCCCAGTCAGATAAAGACCCCTGGGACTGCCGGGGATGCA